GCCTGGGATTCTTCAGTGGTTTCAGGCAGATAGTTGAGACTGGGGCTTTGATATTCAAGGTCTTTGGCAAGAATCCCAGACTTGACCAACTGGTACCAGGTCAAAGGTTTTTGTATTCTTGTGAATTTTTTTTTGTCCCTATTGCCCAGGGATGTCACTGTAAATATATGTACATTTATAAATAATTTTTGTATTCATTGACCATATGTGTTGGCTGCGAAAGTGCTTTGGCTCATTGGCCATTTTTTACTTAGGGTATCCTAGCTTCTTCTTACTCAAAGTCAGGTCTGTTGACTATCAGCATCACCATTACCTAAGAGCTTGTTAGAATGATCCCAGCGCAGACCTAGCAAATCAGAGTCTACATTTAACAAGATCCTCAAGTTATTTGTGTGCATATTAATTAAAACTTGAGAAACCCTGATCTAGCTTACTTTTCACATGGATTTTATTTTTTTTTCTGGGTATTTGTTTTTATAATGTTTGGCTAGCTTTTTCCAAAATGCACCCATGAAGTTAATATAATTTTCAGTAAACAGTCTTTGGGAAAATAGTTCACTATTGTACTAAAGAAGAATGAGAAATGCGTATTTGAAACCAGTGTGCAGATAATTTGATTTAATATAGCTCCTTTGGCTATCATTTGTTGTTAGAATTGTTGACATGCTAGGAGTTGGAAGGGAATGGCCGTTTATTTTTAAAACAATTTTGTGACATATTTAAAGATGTAATGGCTGCACTGAATCAATGATTATTATCTATCATGAAACTTTCATTACAATATGGATACCGTTTTGTCTTTTAGTTCTTTTCCATGTGTCTAAAGAGTTTTATTTAAAAATTTTGTGGCTGGGCACAGTGGCTCACGCCTGTAATCCCAGCACTTTGGGAGGCTGAGGCAGAGAGATCACATGAGGTTGGGAGTTCGAGACCAGCCTGGCCAACATGGAGAAACGCCTGTCTCTACTAAAAATACAAAATTAGCAGGGCATGGTGGCACATGCCTGCAATCCCAGCTACTTGGGAGGCTGAGGCAG